AGGCAAAGCTAAGGGTAGTTCCTGACAGAGGAAGTAGCAGGAGCCAAGGCCCTGAGGCGGGAGCTCAGACACAGTGCTGTGCAGGTCTGAGACCATATAGCAAAGTGTAAAATATGGTGCCATTTTATTTGGATTTCCTCTCAGGCCACCAGCAGCTGTGACAGGTTTTTTTTTTGTTTTTTTTTTTTTTTTTTTTTTTTGAATAAGGGAGTTAGGTGACAGCAGTTAGCTGCTTTTGAACTCTATAAATATATTTATTGTTGTTTCTCAGACTAAGTACTCATTACAACTCAACCCGTTTTGTTTTGTTTTGTTTTTGAGGGGGGATCAGTGCTTTTAGTGTTACAGTTTATAAACAAAGAAACAAAGTACAGAGAGGTTAAGTAATTTCCTCAGAATTCATAGCAGAAGGACCTGGGGCCAAAGCCAGGAAGTCTTAGTAACCTGGGATTAGTTTCTGAGTGTTCTGAGCTGCTTGCACAGTGTTCCATGTTTGCTGGTGTGTACGTTTGTTTAAGAAAGGGCCTAAGCTTTAGCTGTATAGTCCCTGGTGTGCACCGTTCCCCATCTAAGGACTTGTCCTCTGCTTTTGATGTTGTACTGCCCAGAAGAAAAGGAAATGTCAGAACAATCTGCGGGAACTCTTAGACCTGAACACCAGGCTGTTCCTGCCTGGTGAGGGATAGATGTACCTACACTTTCCAAGGTAGACCAGATGGCAAGTTCTTGACATTTGAGGTCATTGAAAGTGTAGGGAACTTGTCTCTAATGAGCAAAAATTATTCTTCTAATCTCAACAAAAGTAAGTAAACTGAGGTCTTGTTTTAGAAAAATGCTTTGATGCTCTTCTGCTCTCTACTAGACCAGCTTGTGTGCCATGATTACAAATTAGATATTCATTCCCTAACTGCACAATACTGGAAATTCCTTGGAATCAAGGAATCCAAGACAGGCCCCAGGAAGAATTGATGGGGAAGTCCTTCTGTGTATATGTTTCTCTTATTGGTTAATGAATAAAACACTGATTGGCCAGGCAGGAAGTGATGTAGCTGGGCAGAATCAGAATATAAGCAGGGACAAGCAGGAGATCACTCTCCTCTCTTCTCTTCTCTTCTCTTCTCTTCTCTTCTCTTCTCTTCTCTTCTCTTCTCTTCTCTTCTCTTCTCTTCTCTTCTCTTCTCTTCTCTTCTCTTCTCTTCTCTTCTCTTCTCTTCTCTTCTCTTCTCTTCTCTTCTCTTCTCTTCTCTTCTCTTCTCTTCGCTTCTCTTCTTTTCTCTTCTGCTCTGCGGAGAAGCTGTCATCATGTAGCAGGCAAAGGAGTTGCAGGTCTGGTAAGCCAAGACCATGTGGGAATACATGGATTAGTAGTTTTGGGTTAATAATTAAGTCAGAGCTAGCCAATAAGAAACCATAGCCAAAGGCCAACAACATTATAATTAATACAGCGTCTGTGTGTTTCTTTGGGGCAGAGAAGTGTGGCGGGACCAGCAGGGCCAGAAACATTCACATTACAATGAATGAGGAAGTCTAAAGAGCTGCCCCATTTATATAACCTCAGCAAGTTAATGTCTTGTTCTAGTACTTCAAATATTGGTTGTTTTAAATGTGTGCATGGCGAAGATACTGTGGCATGAAAATGTTATGTTAGAGGTAGAGAAGTGGACTCCCTACTTCCTAAAGTTTATTTTTTTTGATGGTTTCATGATCTTTGTTTTCTTGTTTTCCTTATCCCCCCCCTTTTCTTTTTAAAGAATCAAAGGTGTTCTCTTATGTAGCCTTAATGTTATTATACAATAAATATCCAGTCATGGCATCTGTAGATAACTACGATGATGGCTCTTTTTGGTTATCAACCTGACCTCTGAGGGAATTTTTATTCTAAATTAAATCATCTGGAGTGGGAAGACTGCTTTTAATCCAGATCTTTTGAAGTGGGACACGGAAGAAGGAAGCTTGCCTTCGTCTGTCTGCCATGCGGCTGTAGAGGGCACAGTGCTGAGCCATGCTAGCTGGCTGGAGACCTGAGCACAACAGCCCCAACACCTTAGTGGATCTATTTCAAACAAATACTTGCTTCACAAAAGATTAACACATATTGTTTCTGCCCAGTTTCAAACCGGGGACCTTTCATGTGTGAGGCAAACACGATAACCACTATACTACAGAAACAACACTCCTGCATGCCCTTCTTGTGCCACACTCATGTATAACTGAGAAACTTTCCATTCTAGGCTTAGGCATTTACTATGGGCAGGTTCAGAAATGATCACCTTTAGTAGGATTTTCCTTCCTCTTTTATATTTATACCTTATAAATAATAATGCATAAAACTGCCCGATTCTTCAATTCTTCAAACTTCAAGCGAGAGAGCAAAGCTAAGGACAGTCTGCAAAAGAGGATTTCCAGACTACTTGCTCTTTGCTTCTCTTGTTCTTGCTGGCAAGTCCATTCCTTCACTGGCATTAGAGGCTACTTCTTCAGGATTCCAGCGTATTCTGAAGACCAGCTGAGGTGTAGTCAGCCTTGTGGACTGAATAACTACTGGATTCTTAGACCTTCTGTTGGTAGACAGCCATTGTTGGACTATCTGGACCACAGCCTGTAAGCCATGTATGTATGTGTATATGTATGTATGTAAGTTACAAGTGGAAGTTCTGATGACACACTTTACTGATAAAAACTGTTTCTCACCTCATTTCCTATTTGGGAAAACTTAAGACCCCAAAGACTGAGCACATGACACTAACCATCGGGACATCTGGCCTGCTGTCTCTTCTGCGAGAGATGCGAGGCTTACAAGAAAGATAAAAGGAGTGTGTGTGTGTGTCGGGGGGGGGGGTGGCTGCCCTTTTTATTTTAGAGGATTTTTTAAAAACTTAATAAATACTGAGGTAGACAAGGAGAATGCAAGTCGATCACCATGCTGATTCCCTTCTGAACAGAGAGTGGTGTGGTAATGAGATTAGTTTTCTTTCCAAAGCCACAAACTGGAGAGGTGCCGTCAGTGCCTCGGAAGTAGTTTCTTTATCAAGCATATTATACTGAAGTAAAATGGCATTAAATCCACGAGGTTCATTTGAAAGATGGGATAAGATGGAAATTGTTTAGCTAATCACCTAGTCTGATCATCTCCCAGGGTATTTATCCGAGGGCTTTTGCCCCTGCTCAATGAAGACTGGCTCCTCCAGCAGTGTTATCTGATGGGGGTTTTGTTTCTTCTGAAAGCTGACCATTGTTCTGTTTGCTGGGGACTTCGGAGGCAGCAGGAAAAGACTCATGGCAAGCTGAGTAACATAAAACCCTCCTGTCATCCTGGAATTAGGTGCAGGGCGTATTATGTAAATTCTTCACTTGCGGTTCATAATGAAACAGTGTGCTTTTGAACAAATTGATTTTTCCCTCCTAACTGCACCCTTCTTTAATATTGAGGTTAGAGCCATAGCATTCTCTAGGTATTTAGTTAGCATTGGCTTCACTTTTGTTCTCATGTCTTTTGAGAGAGTTTGAAATAGTGTCTCTCTATATAGCCCAGGCTATCCTGGAATTGGATATGTAGACCAGGTTGGCCTCAAACTCACCAAGATCTGCCTGCCTCTGCCTCCCAAGTGCTAGGACTACAGGTATCTGCCAGCAATGCTGGGAGATGTGGTTCTTGTCTCTATTAACCATGGATTTGCATTCTATTTTTAAAGTCTTGAGAAAAGGATTTCACCCTTGTTTATTGATAGATCACCCCACACACCTTAAGGAGTTCTTTCCATGTGTGATCTATAATATAGTCACATTAACATGGCATACTTGTTTTTGCAGAGAGATGATTAACCTTTAGGTTTGATTAATTTTTATGATTTACTCAAGATTATATTACAGTATTATGAATTCTAGAATATGATTGCAAAAGTTATACCCAGCTAATCCGAGCAACTGAGCCTTCGTTTCAAGGTTGAGATACACTCAGTGGTTTTAGTTTTCAGTCATAAGGTAATAAATCCCATAATTTATTAATTAACGAGATTAGTACATTCCTGAAAATTATAGTCATTCTACAGGAGGCTTGAGGGTTCAGCCAAACTCTCTTCTTCCAGTGGCCACTTGCTGTTCATGCTTACTCCTTTTGTGACTCGCAGTGGCCAGCCCTGACCATTCACCTTGCATATATGACACTGAGGACCTGCAACATGTTGGACTAAAATGGATAAGGAATGTTGGAATATTTCCTACTGCTAAATTTATTGTCTTGTTCCTGGTATATGACATGCCACATAATTCCAGTGGTTGGAAAGAGCATGCAGAAACCAGAAAACTTACTAATGGCTTGTTCTTATGTATATTCTGTATAGGTGAGGCATGGACCTGGTGAAAATGGGAGTCTCCACTCAACCATCCCCAGTTGCCCCCCTCCCCCCCAAAAAAATAACATAGATCTGTTTTATCTGCATCGTCTCCTAGCAAATTACTTTGACTCTGGCTGAAAATATACCTGTTGAATTCAGAAGGCTGAATTCATTCTTAGAAAACTTAGTAAATATTTTGCTTCCTAAATAATATCCCCCCCTACCCCCACCTTCTTTTTGCTGGATTTTGCTCCACTTTATGTGTGTTTTACTCATTCTTCATTAACTCAAACCCTCATTTCCAGAAGGCAGTGTATATCCCACTAGCCTCCCAACATGGCAGGATGGTTTGGTTTATGCTCCCAGCAGGCGTAGAACAGCTTTGGAGATGCCACCCATGGTCATGGTTCCCAAATCGAGACAGCAGTTCTGATGGTCCATGGCACCAGACCGCTTCATGCATGCTTGTTGTTCTCATGTGCTCCAGCATGCCGGTTGTATTAAATGGCTGGTTGAGAAGGAGCGTGAAGATTGGAAACATCCTCTGTGTGTCCCTCGGTTTTGATCTCCTCATTTGTGAGGTGGGGGAGAGAAGAATGCATACCTCTTAGGGACTGTCAAACAAGGGGCTTCAAAAAGTTTGAAAATCTGGGGATGTCAGGTGAACCCACTCGAGTCATTCTTGTGGTTGGACTCTGTTGCTTCTAAGAGACTGTATCTTCCTTGCCGCCCTCTGGTGCCAGCTGATGGTGGACTGGCTAGGGTGTCCTCTCCTCAGTCGGGAGAAGACTTGTGTCCTCAGCCAGTGGAAGACCCACCGAAAGTTCAGACAGGATGTTCCATATGAGTGAGGAGCATCCTCCTGCTGTGCGCGTGACACTGAGGAGGTCTCTGAGGAGCTCCCAGCTTCCTGGCTTATCTCCTGTTGAGAAAAGAAGGATGATTTAGATGCATGTAGCGTCAACAGCCGTGGGCTTGCTATCTACTCCTCCGTAGAACCCAAGCTCATTTGTACAGCAAAGCTTCTAGACCCATCGGTTTGAACACACACACACACTCTCTCTCTCTCTCTCCCTCCCTCTCTCTCTCCCTCCCTCCCTCCCTCCCTCCCCACCTCCCTTCCTCCTTCCCTCCCCCCCCCTCTCTCTCATATTTATGTGCTTGCTGGTTCTACCTTCATCCCTCCCTTCGGTATGTTTCCTGTAACTCCCCATTCCTGGCCACCAGCTTCCTCCCTGTCTAGTCTTGTGTGGCTCACATTACCTCAGAGCAGATACTGAGGCCTGGCTAGGGTGTTCTCTCTGTCTAACCCTCTCTTCCCCAGTCCTTCCCTTGCTCTCTTGGGAGGCATCTCTGTGCTCACCACAGCTTCATCTTTCTGTAGCCTTGGATTCCCCAGGACCTGACCGATATCTTCATTTTTTGGCGTTTTGTGGTTGGGCAAGTCTTGACAAATGTCACGTTTTTCATGCCTGACCCAAACTGTCTGTGGAGAGGGATAGCTGGTCCAGTAGACATCTTCATTCTGAGTAGATCCGGGGAGCACATGGTCATCATGTTGACTACCTTTTTCTTTTTCTAGAAATGTCTCGAGTTTCTGTACTAGATTATCCAGTTTGCAGAGAGTCAGCTTTGTTCTATCTTCTGGCCACTTATCCATCCACTGGCAGTGGCCGTTTAGATCCAGATTAGCTAGAGAGTCTGCATGGTTAGAGCCCTCATCAATATCCCAGGCCATCGTGATGCTTAGCTTGCAGAACTGCTCTGGGTCACCCTCCATCTGATCTCGTTTCCGGAAGAGTCTCCTAATATTCTCTGTTCCCCAGGTACCTTGGATAGGAGGGAGGAGGTGGATGGCAGAATCCATGGAGGCTGTCTCCTCATGTGAGGAGACCATTTCCTCATAAGAAAACGTGATCTCAGGAGGGTAGTGACCAATTGAAAGGCTGTGGTCGGATTTGCATTCGGAAACAGAATCCTCTGTGCTACTGTAGTCGCTGCTGGAGGGTGAAGTTGTCATGGTGCTCATGTCTTCCTTGACTCAGGGAACTTCAGAAGGAAAAAAGTAATACATGATATTGGCGAGGGAAGAGAGTCAGGTGAGCCATCCCTTTTTCTATTTGGAATGTCCCACTTTGCCCAGTATAGTCCATCTGTTTGTACTTTCTGCCCTGAAAAACATGTCACAGTGTGACAACCCCCCCCCCCAGGGTATCTCCTCTTGGTACCTCTCATTTGCTTGACAGTATTTGAGAGAATTTGTGTCATAAAAAGAAAAGGGAAAATTGAAAATGACAGGAAAGTGTGGATGGAGTTCTGTATGCTTTTAGTCCACTATCCTGAGGTCAAGGTAACCAATTTCTTAATAAATACATATATTTGTGCACATATGTACATATATGCACATATCCAAATACACACAGTTCTCACGTCAACAGAAATTTACTATTGAATTTATAATAATATACAGCTACTCTGTATTAACTATTTTCGTATTAGATGGCCTGTTAATATTAATATTTATTTTTATTAAATATCCTATTAATTTCTTATTAAATGACCTATCAGTAATCCTTAGCTTAGATGGTTAATGACCATTAGATTACTTAAGTCCATTAAGTGGTACATGGAGTTAGTGGACCAGAGATCTCAAATATATAGTCTTATAATAGTTAACACCAGATTGCTTTCCGGAACAGTGACCGCCATTCAAGTACCCATCCTCCCGACCACCTGATAGCAAGTTTATTCTGCGTCTTCCCCGACCCCCCACGTACACACACACACACACACTCACACTCACTCACTCACTCACTCACTCACTCACTCACTCACTCACTCACACATGCACATGTCTCTGCCATTCCCCGAAGAGGCCACCCACATGAGACAGGCACTTCCAGCTCCTGAGACATAAGTGAGGGTGTCTGAAACCTGTCAGATCCCGCCTGTTAATGATACAAAACCAACTGCTTCTGAGAAGTCTGTGTTCCAAGACTGTTGGTCTCCATAGCAACATGGTCAGAAATGTGTAAAGGGGCAGGATCTAGTCCCCTCAATTCCAGAGTATTCTGCGCACTTACCCAGTAGGCTGAACTCGTTAGAGCCAGTCAGATCCATTAGATCTTTCCCTTCCCCGAGATTGCAGTTAAGGTTTTGCCACATGTCACACTGTGGTGGTGGCTTCTGTTTCTAGGCTCTGCTAAATTAGATTGTTGTGAGTGTTGATGGCTTGACACAAGACACAGGTCTGGCTGGAGGCAGGAAAAGCACGTTCCGCTGTCCAGCACATACAACTTTAGCAAGGCCCTCTGATTACCCCAACTTCACCAGTGATGGGGGACCACTTAGCCGTGTATTGGGTCTTGTGACAACCCAGTCCTGAGTTATCCTGGAAGGAACGCCAACTGTGCCATCACTGTTTTTCTAAAGAAGGAGCCAAGGTGCGAGTGGCTCTATGAATGTTCACCTTTCCAGGCCATATCCTCAAGAACCTGAATTCTGACCGGCCATGCTTCAAGCACTCTTAGTCTCCAGCCCTGCACATCATCCTGTCTCTGGGGAGGGCCTCCATGCATCTCCTGCTTACGTCCACAGGGGATTCAGTCCACAGGCAAAACCAGGTCCTGGTTCCTCAGGGAACAGCATGCCCTGGAGATGCATTCATGCTGCAAGTGCCCTACACCAGGACCACATGTGGTGCAGGGAAAGGCTTAAAGTGAGCATCTTACCTCTCCCTTGGTTTCACATGGCCTAGGTTCCTCTGCTTTGACTTTGGCACTCTGCAACACTAGGGCCTCCTCACGAGGCCTTCCTCTGTCTGACCTACCTGAAGAGGGGATGAGGCAAAGCTGTGCTACTCTGCCTATGGACAGTGGAGAGGAGAGTATATGACCCTGCAAGCAGGAGGGCTTCAGAGACAGACCCCAGAGAAATCTGCAGTTTTCATTTTTACCCTTCCTTGTGCTCTAAGTGTCACACGTCCCTCCCGCCCTCCCCTCTTCTTTCCTCCCCTGTGGAGCTCCAGTCTGCTACTTTCTCTCTACACATGTGCAGGCACACACACACACATTTTTCCTCATTTTAAATGTATAGTTCGGGATGTGAAAGTCCCTGAGACTTACCTTATCTCTAGCCTCCGAGTAAAAAAAGACAGTCACTGCTAATAGTTTAATATCTACTAATAGAATATACATATTAATGTATACATACATTTATTGAGAGTTTTGAAAAGCCATCATAAAACAGCAATGACTCTTACTCAGGGTGGCCTACTGTCTGTTCTACACCTCCTGTTAATCAGGGGCTTAGGGTTTTCAGCAGCGATCTCTATTGTGTTAGTTTTTTAATTGGGCTTGCTGGTCTAGCTTCTTTTGTACTACCGTTTTATTGTCTCTTGAGGCAAGACCACCCATAATAAAACTCAAGATTTTAACAGTGATAGTGTACCATGAACCTAAAGTAGTTTGGGCCCCAAGCCAACAACAATATTGATTGAGAACTGGAATACTTCCTAAGAGCCTTTGACTTGATGGGACATGAAACCTGAATTTGTGGAAAAGGAAGCTTCTGATTTGATGATTATAATTTTTGTGTCAGTTCTGGGTGTGTCTGGATATTTTTAGCATTGGATCTGGTGGGCTGAATAAAGCCCTGTGGGGCTTATCCAGTCCCTTGGAGACCTGACTAGGACAGAAGACTGAAAGGGAAAGTTTGTGCTGCCCGCTGTCCATGAGTGGAGCATCAGTTTCCCTGTCCCCTGTGCTTGGACAGGGGTGTAAACACCTCTACACTCCTGCTTCTCAGGTCTCCAGACTCAGACTACAGCTTACTGGTCACCATTTGGATCTTTAACTTACAGGTGGCAGATCTTGGAACTTCTCAGCAGTTCCTTGTAGCAAGTCTCTTTTTATGTCTTAAGCTCTCTTATTGTTTCTGTGTCTCTAAAGAAAGCAGGTTATGCACCCACTTAGTTTTCTGTTTTTGAAATCACTGAAGTATTTTAGCTGGCCATGTGGTACAGACCTGTAATGCAGCCCCCGGAGACCAAGGCGGGAAGACTGTTTTATAGCCCAGGCTGGCCTTGAACTTGTGCTCCTCTGGCCTCTGCTTATGTGAGATTATGGCTCATTTATTTATAGATACTTTTAAACCTGACAGCTGAGTGCCTATCAAATTCCAGACCCTACGTCCTGCCATTTGTAGCAATAACAAATTTATTTACTTTGTTAATTTATTTGATGTATGTGTGCCTGTGTGTGTGTGTGTGTGTGTGTGTGTGTGTGTGTGTGTGTGTGTATGTATGTATGTATGTATGTATATGTACCATGTAGATGCCAGCCATTTTGGTCTTGTAACTAGCGAGTGTTATGATGACCGTGAGCCTCCTGACGTGGGTGCTGTGGACGTAACAGGAGTCCTCGGCAAAAGCAGTCAATGCAAGAGTCGTCTCTCCAACCCTGTTTTCAACATGATTTCTTTCATCTGTAAAACACAGATAATGACATCTTCCTCAGCGAGCCTTTGAGGTGATTGGAGATCATATGTAGGATGTTCAATACAGTTTATTTTCACTCCAGGATTAAGCACACAAACCTCTCCTGTCTTGCATTGGCAGGACCACCCTCCTCTGGAATAAAAAAAAAGATTTATTTTATTCTGATATTTCAGACACAGAGTAATTTCCACCCCTGGTTATATATCAAAATTGTGTGCATATATTCACCATAATTCTGTTTATGTGACGGTCACCTCTGCAAAGGCAAGGTGGAATGAATGTTCAAGTTAGTGTCTGCTCCTGCCAGCAAGGCACCAGACAGCAAAAGCCTGAGACTACAGGGGTTGCAGTAGAGGAACTTCCAGAGTTAGTGTCCTTACCAGTCCATCCAGGAGACTTCATTTTTGAGTGCATCCTGCCATCGAGAAGAAAGAATCAGAAGGAATATTTTGGCCAGGAGGGTGAGGAGCACTCACTACCTTCTGTGGACAAGGGTGACGGCTGACAGTTCACCCCTTGACAACACTCTAATTTGGGTACAGTGTTTCTACCAACACCAGAAATGTTTGAAGGGAAAAGCTGGGAGGATGTAGGCTCCCCAGGAAACAAGCAACCAAAGAGACTAGTAGCAAAATGCTTAACAAGCAGAAGATCTTTGTTCTGTCTAGTCCTCAGGGCACTATGAGGGAAGGGTGGAGACGGGTGTGAAGAATGGAGGGGAGGGTGGAAATGCCCAAGGTTGGCTATTAAGAAGGAACCCAATTAGAGGCCGAGGCGCCGACACCCAGTTCCCAAGTTAACCTAATAGAAAGTGGGTCTCAGGGCTTGGGGTGTAGCTCAGTGGTAGAGCACTTGCCTAGCCTATTCGAGATACTCTGTTCAGTCCCCTGTACCACAGCAGGGAGGAGGTAGCCTACCTACAGTGTTTCTTGTATTTTGGGAACAGACATATGGTAAAAAGTATCTGAAGAGTAAGTGAAAAATGACTGTGAATAGGAGCAGGCAGCATGAATGCCTGTTACAAATAATAATCATTTTCAGTTTAGTTAGAAGGGATCTGGGATGTGAGCAGACAGGGCTGAGTGGGGCAGGTTGCAGATGGCTGGCTCTGCCTGTCTCTGGCTGTTATCACTGAGTACCACAAAGGCCTCCCTCACAGGCCTGCTACAGCCAGAATTCCCTTCTTTTGCTCCTCTCCCACATGTGCTAGCCCAATGCTGTGCAGGCTCTACCCAGTCTCTTAGCACAGACAAAGCTCTCTCTGCACTTCCCGAGGCTAAGAGAAAATAAGCTCTGGGAGGTTCCCGCCTCTGGCTCACTCGGATCTCGTGCAGCATCTGTGAATAGCTGCTGTTGTGTGTGTGCACAATGGCCTCCATTCATTTGAGGACCACTGTGCACATCTTCAGAAGACAGTTTATTGCCCCAGGTGAGGCCGGTTAATGAAAATGATACTGATTAACAAATACTACAGTTGAGTCTTTTTAAAAATCTTACAAAATTGAAAATGAATGCTAAAACTTATGTTTTAAAAGCCTCCACAAAAT